CTTTGACAGTTTGTGCCTTCAAAAAACTCAAAATCTATCCCCAAACTACAAATTAGACAACAAGATAAACGTTTTGACAATGAAAACGTAGTTTTAGCTTTGTTTATACTTTGTAGTTTGCACTCCTAGTCAAATCCAAACATGGCGGATTTATAAGGGCACGCATGAGAAAAAGTGGAGACATGATTCGTGATCAAGTACGCATTCTATATCTATTATTTCTATGGGTATGACCAACAAGAATTGCTTTCAAATGATGCATCCACAAACTCGATGCAAGGGTGTACAGCAAAACCAAGAAGTGGTTCTTCGTCACTACAAGTTGCAAACTGAAGGATATGTTCCAGGGTTACTGATCCTCGTTGTCCACTTGCGGCTTTTCTGGTATACTTGGCAAATAATGCGTAGATTTCATTTTCACGGCGGTATGCATTAGAGTCGACTTCAGTCAATTTTCTTCTTGTCAATGAAGCAGCAGGGGCAGCTCTGAACAAATTTTGGAATGTTGGTAAACAATGTCCTATTTGACAAAGACCAAGCATGTCAAAACCATTCTGAAGCTTTGCAATGCACAGATTGGTGGGCGTCTTTGGTGAAAACAGTGCCTGGAGATCTTCCTCATTTAGAAACCTTGGAATAGCTCCGTTCTGCAAGGTGCTGAGGGCCATTATCAACCCAACAATGGTATAGTCGTCCGCAAGATGTGCTTTGAGGCCATTATCAAAATATGTAGTCTTGATTTCATTTAAGCAAATGCGGAAAAATTCCCTGCGGGGTCCACCATTATCCTGAGCAGTCTCATTATCAAAAGACACTTCAAGTGTTACTCTTGGATTCTCAATGGATTTTACTTCTTCAAGTGCAGTTTTTAAAACATCGTATCTATTAATTAAGATGTAGGAAGTTTCACCTTCTAAGCTGACAGTGACATCTTGTACATCCAATGGCCTGCCAGTAACAATACAACTTTGGACATAACATAACGTAAGATTTCTACATGATTTGTAATGTCATTACTTTTACAATAATCGACACAATCACATGCAACTGATTCCAATGGACCTCGGAAGCTTGCTCTAGATTCTCCTTTGTTTTCTTCTAAAACCCACAGGTTCTTTGGTTTTGGTACTTCTTCAACTGTTTTCTCAGTTGCAGGCAATTCCACTACTTCATCCATAGAAAAAGCTGGTCTGGACAATGTTTCTGAAAGATAACAAATTACATGCATTATATAATGATTTCGTCTTTTTACAGTAAGCCAGTATGGCTAGGTACATGTTGCAGTTAGTGTTGTGTGCCGTGTACAACAATTTCGTAGAATTAGAGTTGGTTACAAATAATAGGAACATTGAATTTGCTGAAAGTATACATATAATCTGAAGTCATATGTTGTGTCAAACGAACAATAAATCGTCATGCTTTAATATGCTGCATCATGTCATCTTACCTTGGGGGCAAAATTAAGCCAAATAATATCTGCCATTATCCGATTATAGACTTTATCCCATTTGTTGTGAACCAATGAAGCTGGAGATTTAAGCACTATTTGCAGTGCATGTACTGTACACTGCACTTTTTATAAGTTAATGTTAACCCTCCTAGAGCTCACCCATTGACAAGTAAAATTGTCTACAATGGTATATATAATCAGGTGCATGGTTCGCAGGCTAAATTAAGTTAATTGACAATAGCCAAACCTTCTTCAACATGGTAAGTAAGTATCCCATGCCAAGTAACTAGCCAGTTGGTAAAAGCTGTAGCCAAGTAACTAGCCTGTTGGTAAGAGCTGTAGCCAAGTAGCAAAGGTGAGGTTCCTGTTTGTAAGAGAAATTTTTCCTGGCATGCCTGTCAAAACAGGGTATCCTAGGTAGTGGCGCTACCTGCAAGTGTCTGAAGCTAACTGTAATCCTTGTCTGAACTCTGAAGTTTTATGCATACTAACTAAAAAAATTCTTAAAATTTTCCACAAACTAATTGCAAAATTTTTTTGGCTACCTGCAAAAAGACTAAATATACAGGCATGTTTCCTGGCTGAGTGTCGCCTTAACAATAAGACCAGGTGCTTTTGAGGAATATGACTAAACTGCCTACGAAAAAGCGCTTAATCTTTCAACATAGTGATGTTAAATTACCTCACTCACTCAATTGTGACAATTTGTACCACTTGACCACTTAAAAAGCAGTTTAAGTTAAAATATTATATTAATTAAGTATAGTGGTATCATAAAACTGATAAGATGGGTCATCGAGTTTGTATATCAGATACAGATCGGCTGCTTATGTTTTATCTAGTACATGTGAGATTATTTGTGACAATTTCACATGTGAAAATTATGGCTTTTCAATTGTCACTTTGCTGTAAAAATTATGGCTTTTCAAAGACTGCACTTTATATAATAAACAGAAAAATTCATGGATGCTTCAAAATACCAGATTTATTTCTCGTGTTGAACATGATATTTCACTCCTTCGCTGTGCTCACTCTTGAACTGAATTGAAGTTGAATTTTCATTGAATTGAAGTTGAATTTTCATTGAATTGAAGTTGAATTTTTAATTGAATTGAAGTTGAATTTCCATTGAATTGAAGTTAAATTTCCATTGAATTGAAGTTGAATTTTCATTGAATTGAAGTTGAATTTTCATTGAATTGAAGTTGAATTTTTGTTGAAATTGAATTTTCATTGAATTGACGTTGAATTTTCCATTGAATTGACGTTGAATGTGTTTATTGAATATTGCTACAGTTGGCTTGCCATACAGTTGCTAGGTAACAGACACGGCAAGCTGTAAAATTGCGTAAATATAACAGAATGCGAAAAACTTTTTAAAAAATAATAACGAAATAGACGAGAAAATGAGACAAAATAACAATATGATAATGATAAATTTTTAAAGCTTCAAGATAAATAAAGCAATGCTTTAGTATGGAAATTTGGGGAATTTTTTAGTCCTGCTGGGCAGGACAAGCAGGACCGCTAGCTACGCCACTGTGTCCACCCAGTAAATGCATTAATTAATAAATTAATTGATTTATTGTGACTGGTGTTGGTCGAGACTTGACAGCGGTTGGGGCGCCATTACTGGAGAATCGATGGGGATGAAAATTAAAATTTTGCAATCGGATATATTGCCTTACATGGAGACTGTCTAAGTTGCCAAGAGATTGGAAGCCAATTGTCACAAAATAACCAGAAGTAGGCTTCTGAGATTGCGTGCGCGTAATTAATTTTTGGCACAGTGCGCGAATAAGAGGAAAGTCGCGTATTCCGGCTTCCTAATGACTTTTAACGCCCCTGGCATCGCAGTATGTGGTTTGGCCGCAAAGAGCGCAAATGTGTATAAAATTTTTAATTTGGCGCCACCGCGTACTGCCAAGTCACAAACCACAAATCTATATTAGAGCGCGGGTGGTGCGGACGAAAATAGTTGAAGGATAGGAAGTATCAAGTTGGCCATGACATTTCACTGTCAGTGCATGTACTGGCAACCATGAAGGGTGGACGATTGACGTTTTCTTCAGCGACCATTTGTACTTGAGATGCTTGGGCTAGTAGCATGGATGTTCTGAAAGGAAAGACTAAAGAACGCAGACAAGCAAAATTTGAGTTGCACCATGTACATTAGCTATGCTTGACCGGTTGATGTCGACATACCGGCTAAACGGGCTATAAACCTAACAAAAACATACTGTACAATAATAAAATAACATGCAAGACAAAAAGCAGTGGAATAATCTAATTGATATTCTATAACAATACTGCAAAACGTTAGAAGTATTGACATATATGTAAACGTCACAACGAAATGAAGTTGGCATACATCACACAAGGCAGCCGAATAATCATGGCATACATCGGAGGTAGCCGCACATTGAATATTCCATTTATACAATGCTGCAAAATATATAAATATTCGGGCAATCTGAAAACAACTAGCTGCACCGTCCCACAATATATTGATTTCAGGGGCGTAGCTAAGGGGGGGG